ATTAGTGCCGTATTTCGCCATTCCTGCTCAATTTAGTCGTTGAAGAAGTACTGGAGAATGCACTAAGTGGTCTCCAAAACGTAGGTATTGAGTGGGCAGCTGAAGAAAAGCTGTGCGATGTTGATGATATCGCATGCTTGTTCGAATCTATGGAGAACGCGTAAAGCGCTCTTGACAGATTAGCAAGTTGTGTATCTCCTTTCGGCATGCGCTTTGCACCTTCAAAGTGCAAAGTGACGCTACAAGACTGGGTGTCATCTACCCCAGCGCTGATGCTTGATGGTCAAGAATTAGCTGTAATGAAACGTTTCACCTACTTAGGTAGCTACGTTTCCAATGACGGTAGTATATTCAATGAAGTAACCACCCGCATTTCCAAGGCTCGAAAGGCTTACGCAAGACTGAAGCGCATTTGGTGCAGACGCGATGTTTCGTTGAAACCGAAAGGTCGCGTATACTGCTCCAGTGTGCGGCCACTTCTGCTCTATGGTTGTGAGACCCTAAATTTGCGCGGGGAAGATATTCGTCTGCAGATGCTTACGTAGTTTGGCTCGGGTTGGATGGAGCGAGCTTGTAAGCAACTCTGAGGTGAGGCGTCGCGTATTTGGTAATGATTCGATGGATAATTCGTCGTCCCATCGAATTCAGATTAGTCGGCTTCGTTGGTTAGGACACGTATTGCGCTTGTCCAGCCATTGTCTGCCGCACCTTATTGGCAGTCGCGGCTCCAGAAAGAAGAAACCGCGTGGAGGTCAACAGATGACGTGGAAGCGAGGCATAAAGAGATGCACAGTGATTAGGCAGAATCGGTGTCTCCCGTCTTCCGTGTTGAGGTCCGAAAGAATCTCTAACTGGCTGGCTGAAGACATTGAAGGAAATGGCGACTAACCGACAGCAATTGCGTTCTTGTTGTCATTTCTTAACAAGTCAGAATGCTTGAAAAGGTATGTATGAAGACTTAGATTGTGTACTCCGTGTGTTCTTTTTCTTTGCCTCCCTCCAAGTAGGCCAAATCCCTCTCCAACTTGTGCTTTATCACTTGATTTGTGTACATTGTGAGCTTGGCAGTGATCACTGAAGCTTGCTTTACTGTATCTCGCTGTACGATGATGATGATGATGATGATGGTCACATCCATCGTTCGACCACCCACTGAGAAATGATTTGCAATGGCTACGCACTTCAAAGTCAATCTGTAGTGAGTAGCTTGGGAAATTATGGACAGGTTTTTTTATTTTTGAGGTCCCCACACACAGTGGAAGACCCCGTGGGAAATGTGTATAGAAATTGTAAAATGGAAAACTATAGTACCACAACTTACTTAAAAGAGGACTCCTTTTCTTCGTTGATCCTTTAATAAGTAAAAAATGGGAAATTTTTTAACTCCTGGCACCAAAAATATTAGATTTATGTTATCGAAACTTTATTTCACTCGAACGCTATCGGCAAAAGCATGTCGTAGAATTTCGTCAATTAGACTGGCATTTGATTTCAGTTTCTATTATTCTATGCATTTACTGCCAAAAAAGGTTTTTATTTTTATTTTCATTTGTCCGTAATTACCTTATTTGAATTGTAACTTTTCATGCTTTCTGGTTCCATTTTCTTTCCGGATGGTAATAATACGCCTTTTTCATCCAATCGAAACAGCAAATCGCGATGTGGCTATCATTCGCTTGAAAGATATCTTCACCTTTTCCAACTGTGAGCTCAATCTGAGAGTCACTTTAGGCTAGCAGACCACCAGGTATACTTATTTCGTTTGCTTTCAAAGACACGGTGCGCGATCGAAAAGCGAAGTTCTTAGTAAGATCTCCGCTTGACGAAGAATTTAATGCGATACACAGGGGACCGAACGTTGGTGCCGTCCATATACGACTTGAAGTCTTCTGTGAATCAGTTTTTGCGCCAACAAGTGGACAGTTATGCAGAATTTACAGTCTGGGGAATGAAAATAATCCGACGCGAATACAGATGCAAAACAGCTATGACACTGCCACCGCCACCCCCCTCTCCCGTGTGGCTGCTCCCATCGGTCTTATAAAAGTGTAATTTCTCGACTTGATGTCAGATAACGAAATCACAGTTCATGATGATTTATCAATATGACTGACTGCTGGGTGTAATACAAATAGGTATTACAATTTCATTTCGTTCCGTACCCTTTGTGTCTTTCTTTAGTTGGTGCACCGGAGCCAGTTATTTGGGAATGTGTCGTGATGCTAGAGTTTGATCGATACTTGTCTATGAGTTGTAACCGTTTTCTTTTCATTTTACTTCCTTTTATTGAATATGCAAAAATACTATTTCAAGAAGGGGGAGGCGGCCAATAAAGGGGGCCATTTACCACACACAATGGGGAAAATCAGGTGGTGGTGGTGGTAGGATTCGCACACACATCACTCGGGTGATAATTTGGAGACATTACCACCGGGCCATCACCGCCTGGTGATGAAACATGTTCATTAAGTCTAGTATCCTAAACTCCGAAGGATTACCTTACTTACCAATAATCATAAGGAATCCAAAATGATGCGGTAAAGTGTTCCATTTATCGGCCGGTATACGCAGGTACATAGATGAACCGGTAGATTTGAAGTGATAGGATCCTTTTAAACTGGGTACCTTGTCCAGCTTATTTAAATTCTCCTTACTGTCGTATACCTCGATGCCTGGTGCCAAGAATGTCTGCAATGAAGAGCAGAATAAACCGCATGTATATTATTATTATTAATAATAATATTATTATTATTATAAGTTTGTTATATATTAATTTGAACAGGAATATATTCAAGCCACTGCAGTATAGTATTTCAAACGTTGAGTAAAATAGAATCTTGAAGTGTGTGTGTGGCACTGATTTGTTGATTTAAAACCTTGGATAATGAGTTCGAACCCCACCTACTTCACCTTCTCTTTTTTCTTCGTTATCTGGTGGCTGTCAAGGATCTGCTACCGGTGGCTTGAATACTGATCGTATAAATAAGCCAAGGTGTAAAGAATATTTTTAAATTATTTTATGAGATGTGGTAAACCTAATTCATCTGATGAAGTAAGTTATTCACTAATTACGGCATGTACGCAAGTAGCCGTTGATGTAACTACTTTTTATGGGGAAAACGGTGACGATTCGGAAGCGCCGGACCAGAGAAACATTTCAGTAAGTTCAATAGCACAGATTGTATCAGAGCACTGCTTGCGTAACATGGTCTTTCAGGTCATTAAATCTTAATTCCATTTAACATTACCCAGACCGTGCGTACAGGGTGTCAGATACAATTCTGACATAGTTCAATAACATTTCTCACCCCAAAAAGAGGAGAGAGACTCAATACGTTCTATCGAACATCGAAATGGAACCAAGCAATGGAATCCAAAGAATCCATCGAAGATTTTACATGTGCTCCCATATTCTTCAAGTTAACGCCTAATGAGTGGACACACTCTGTGAATAAGGAGCACATCATCGTGATATAATTTCGAGCTAGCTGTAGCTCCACTGAGTAAACACATCAGTATTGTAAATTCATTTCATCTGAACAGAAAAGACCCTGATGATGTTTTGTAATGTCACGTTTGAATTGGGCTGACCGTGTTCGTTACCGACCACGTAGCTCAGGGTTTCAATTCCCAAACCTATCAGTGTACGGTTGTGGTCTCGGCTCGAGCAGACAAAAAGCGCACGTCGTTAGTGAGGCCAAACAGCCGAAGCGGGGCTTTTCTGTTCTCCCTATCAGTTATCGAATAGATTAGTCCAAAATAATATCTGAACTACCTAATTTGGGATTGAACATTTGTGGGTTGAAAGCATGGTGTATCAAAAATTGATAATGATGCAAAAGATACGCCTGTGTGTGAAGTTTTCGGTAAAATAAATTGGTACTGATATTTTCGTTAGAGGTCTTTTTCAAATGCTGTGAACCTTTTGGAAGTTATTTCGATACAGGTAACTCGTTTCCATGTTTCAAGCAATTAACAGGACTTGTTCCCACACGGAATTACCAGCATGAGACTAGACTGCCAATTGCAGATGCAGCTAATTTCATAGATGAAGTGGCTACAGTAGAAACGCGAAAAGAACCAATGAGTTTTCATTGTGTAGTCGTATGCACACGTAGCTATTCACTATGTAGTAGTGTGTTACAACCTTCGCAACTTGCCATTCCGTTTGAGTGCCAGTCCTGCTTGTGTCTCGTTGGACCTTTTTGATTCATGGTGTCTGTATTTTGCCGTCCTGCAGATCGTGGGTTTGCATCCTCCAGAGAGACCCCCCCCCTGGCTGTAGACGGTTCCAGCCTGCACCGAGACTCATTCTATAGTCGGTTGTCTGGTGCATCAGTTCACGGGACCATCCCGCAGCACACATGCACCCAAGCAATGATATTTTGTTTTACATACATATGAGTGGTGATCCCAGCCTACGGGATAAAGCCAGTTGCGGAGCGAGGCATTACATTTTCCGGACAACTGCGGGGAGTTAACCTACCCAAGTGATGCCAGCCAAGCGCCTATACGTTTCAATTTCTGGCCGATCGCTCCGATCAATCAGAAATCGTGCGGTCCAGACAAAAGCTGTCTGAAGTTAAGGATACACACACGCGATTGGCGGAGACCTGTATAACCATTAAACTTCGTTTGCACATGTTATTCAATCCTCCTGATTTCTTTCAATAAACGAACTGCTACTTCTGTGGCTTTTGTCTTAGGTATCGGTTACATGAGATACCCCCGCGTAAGTGCCAGTTTGTTTTGGTGTTTCCGTTGAGTTCGTGATTCTCGATTCCTGATTCGTTATTTCTAGTTCGTAATTCGTGATTTGTGATACTTCAAATACTAAAATATGCCACTTGATTTTTGCCAGTAAGCAGTACATCTGCTGCTATTTTGATGAAAATGGAGTGAGAAAGCATTCCTTAGTTGACCAATTTCTGCTAATCAGGACAAACGGGGCACCAGAAGCACTTGCCTCGTCTCCACGAAAACGTTTTTAGTGGGAGCGAAATGTGGCGAGGGCCAAAACAGGTGACGGATTGAAAACATAGTGAAGCTTACTTACACTGAACACTCGTATTGTGAGTAAAAGTGTGGTTCTTTGGGAACTGAATAACATCAGACCACATCGGGTTGAATTTTTCCCCAAGTAACAATTGTCACACTCGTAAATGCCGGAGTTCTGAAAAAAACCGTCACATTGTTGGTCTACATAAAAAAATGGAAATGCAAATGGTGTGAAAAGGGAAAGAAGAAAAACGTTTTAATAATAACTGCAGTAGGCAAAACCTGACGGTCAAAGTTTAAATAGGGTTGATCAATAAAATAAAGGCTTAGTGAAAATACCTATGGCTTAGTCGGATACCACTTCTATTCCTGAAAACTATAGCAAGTATAATGCAAACGAGTTGTTCGCAATAAGCAAACTCTGAAAGATGGATGAGGCTGTATCCTTTATATAGGCAACGAATCACAGAGTTATTGTTTTCTTTTTGAGTGAGAGTATTTTTGTTCTTGCGTGGAGTCTCAAGCTCGATCCCTCGTGAAATCAACTAATTTATACAGTTGAAAATGTTAATGATGAAAAATTTATGTGGCTTTTGATTTTGGTCGGTATTTAATTGAACCTTTCTGTGGATGACGTACAAAAAATGCATTTTCAAAATAAAACTTAATACGTCGTGTAAATGCGGCATGAGCTGAAAAACTAGGAAGCACTGGGCAGCTATTTCGACCTGATTGGATCTCATCAGCAGTGCGAATCCATCGATCAAACTTGGGATCGAACCCGAGACCTAAAAGGGAGAACGCAGACATATGATCCATATGATCCACTCGAGCAGCTGGTCAAACCATTTCTCATTTTAACTTTACAGCATAAAGCACAACCCATCTTTGTGAGATTCTTGCGAGCCACGGATCTCGGTCACTTCAGCACTAGCCTCCAGATGGAAACAGTTTTTCAGAGATTCCGAACTTTTTAGCTGATGCCTCCTTTTCACGACCG